TGTTTCCATTTCACATCAGGGTCATTCCAATCCAGAGATTGATAGGCTGTGTATGCTGATTTAATAGAGAAATTCCCTTAAGAGGTTAATTGCTAGTAGCACAATGGAGGATCAGCTATGTTAATGTCAATAATTGTCTCTCTGATTTTTTCAAGAATGGATTAGGGCAGGAGATTCTGAAATAAATCTCATTTCCATTGTCCAGCAGTATCGATAAAATTAAAAATTGGTTTGGATTGTGTAAGTTGATCAATTTCAATATAAGCTAAAAGATGAAGAGGTTTAAAGTCACCAATCTAAAAATCACTCCAAAATTTTGTTCCTCTACCATTTTCAAGATTCCATCTAACATGCATCATTTTATCTTGCCAACTTTCATAAATATTCCTTTAAAGAGAAGAGGAGTTTGACTTATGCTTTAAGGTAAGAGCCATGCCTTTGATCTCATATTTGCCTCGTAAAACACGAACCAAAAGTAGCTCTGGCTCAACAACAATTTTAAAGGCCAATTTGGAAAGAAAAGCCTTATTTTGAACTTCTAAATTTATAAGCCCACCTTCACCATTCAGTAGTGGTTGACATAAATCATTCCACTTAACTAAACTAATTCCTCGATGATCATTTAAATATCCCCAAGTAAACTTTCTGATAAGCCTTTTGATAGTTAAACAATAAGTGGCAGGGAGCTTAGCACTTTTCATGGTATAGAAGGGAATAGAAGTGAGGGTTGATTTAGCTAGAGTGATTCTCCCAGCAAGTGAGAGAGTTTTATTCTTCCAACCCGCTATTTTTTGGTGAAGTTTCTCAAGGATGTAATTGTAAGTTCTGCTTGTAATTTTGCTATTAATTAAGGGCACCCCAAGATACTTGCCTAGGGAATTAGTTTTCATGAAGCCCAACTTATCACAGATAATCTTGCAAGTAGTGGCATTAACATTTTTTTTGAAATAAATCTGAGTTTTGGCATGACTAATAATCTAACCAAAGGAATTGCAAAAACATTGCAATACACTATGAATCACATCAATTCGAGCATATGAAGTTTTCCTAAAAAGAACCAGATCGTCCACAAAGAAGAGGTATGGGAGAGGGACCCCTTGACGACCTAGTTTAATAGGATGCCATCTGCCTTTATCAACTTCCTTCATGATAGCATGTGAAAGGCATTCCATACAAAACATAAAGATGTAAGGGGATAGAGGGTCCCCCCTGTCTAATTCCCCTCTTAGGAGAAAAAAGGTCTGAAGGCTTACCATTCTAAATAACTTGCATTAAAGGGACAGAAATACAACTCATAATTAATTCCACCATTGCCTCAGTGAGTTTGATATCTTGAAGAGCATCTTTAATAAAGTCGCACCACAACTTCTCAAGAGCTTTTTTGAAATCCACTTTAATAGCCATCCACCCTGTTTTGGAAGTTTTCTTTCTCATTGAGTGAATTACTTCTTGAGCAATAATAATGCTGTTAATAATATTTCTACCCTTAATGAAGTTAATTTGATAAGGCATCACAATTGTTGGCATAATTTCATAAAGTCTATTTGCAAGCACCTTAGTTATAGTTTTATACACCACGGAGTAGAGATTAATTGGGCAGAATGCTTTCATATAATGAGGTGTGCTAACTTTAGAAATAAGGGCAATGAGTGCTCTGTTCATCCATAGATCAATAGGTTTACCAAGCCAGAGTTCTTTAATAAAATTGAAGATGCTTTCTCCAACAACCTCCCATTGGTTTTGAAAAAAAGAAAGCATTGAAGCCATAAGCTCCAGGTGCCTTAAGTGGCTTCATATCAAAGGTTGCATGTTTAACTTCTTCAAAAGTGATAATTTTCCCTAAAAGAGCAAGAGAGGTATTTGAAAGAATGGGAAATGCACCTTGAACAATGTAAGGAGTGAACATTGTGTCATCAAGCGAGTACAAGTTCTAGAAAAAGCTTTGAGCCATCTCTGAAAGGTGTTGCTCATCAGTAATCCAGGCTCCTTGTTTAGATTTGAGCTGGGTAATATGATTTCAATGGCAATGAAGAAGTGCCTGAGTGTGGTAGAAAGAGGTATCTCTATTCACTAAGCAAATCCAATTTGTAGAAGATTTTTGAAGCCAAAGAAATTCTTCTTGAAAGCAAATCTCTTCATATTCTTCTTGTAGATGAATGTCCAGATTGAGAAGAGACGGCGATAGAGGTGAAGCTTCAAGTTTTTGCTGCACACCTAAAAGTCTCACAAGCATTCGCCTTTTCTTTTTACCAATATGACCAAAAGTAGTTCTATTCCAAGTAATGGCCTCATTCGTGAAAGCTTGGATGTTGTGAATAATATCTCGATCTGGAACCTAATTTTGTTAGACCAATTAGGCAAAGTCTAGATGTGTAGCCCAACAAGCAAGGAACTTAAAGGTATTGGCTTGAGAAGAAGGTTTATGTAAACCTAAGTGAATCATAATAAGTCTATGATCTAAACCTATCTTTAGAAGGTGTTCTACCAAATTAGAACCATATTGATTGAGCCATCTTGGTTACATAGAGCTCTATCTAAGCGCACCATAATTGTTGCCCTTCTTCATGTAAATTTTAGGCCCTTAAAGCCCATATCTAGTACACCTAGATTTCGCACAAAAGAAATGAAAAGCAAGCAAACATTAATCAATTTTACAATCCCCCTATTAATCAATTTTACAATCCCCCTATTTTGATCATCACTATGTAAGGTAGCATTGAAATCTCCAGCCAAGAGCCATGGGAGATTCAAGGCTAGAGCAACTTTAGCTAAATCTTGCCAAAAGAATTTATGAAATTGAGCTTGTGGGCTCTTCTATACTGTTGTGAATAAAAATTTTGTCTTATCCTCCATAAAACAAACTTTCATGTGGACAAATTGGAAGTGATTATTAATAATTTTAACTTGAACCACCTTGTCTGTTCAAAGAATCCAAATACCACCAAAGAACCCTATGGCCTCAATCTTATGGGAGTAAGGGAGACTAATTTTTTTATGACTATCAACTTTTACTCTAGAAATCCTAGGTTCTACAACAACAAAAATATCAAGCTTATAATTACAAATAAATGATCTCATAATTAAAGGGAACCTATTTTTAAAGGCCCCTTGACAATTTCAAGTTATAATAGACATAAAAAAACAAGGAAATATTTGCTCAAAAGCTGAGCTAAAGTCCACTCCTTCTACTAACATAGCTATTGCTTCATCATTTACGAGCTGGGGTTGTTCCTCTTGAAGACCTAGTGCAATTTCCTTTATCTTTCTTATAGAGGGGCTTAGAGAACTTTCTTTGGGCTTTTCCTTAAAATTGTGAATTAGGAGCCCAAAAGAAAGTGATATTCCTTTTTCCACAGTTAATGGATTTGGTAGTTTGGGCTCATGCTCAATCTGCCCATTTGGTGTTAAGTAGGCTAAGATAGTGGCATGGTGAGCCCAAATTCGAATGAGAAAATGGACCTGGGGGAGTCTTCATGTGGATCCTAACGTTTTGTATAGTGATGACCTGGTTATTGTCCTTATTCAAAGAGGTGGGTGCTTGAAATGCTTTGTAGGCAACATTGTTGAAAAGGCAGTCCTCATTAATATGTGTCCCAGAATTATCTTTTTGTTGCTTTCCCCCATCCACCCTTTTATATCCTTTTGTCTCCTTCAGTTTACGCCTTGAGGAAGAGGTCTCACCATTAGCGGTATGTCTGACATAATCGTAAACTTCATGGCTTTGTTCCCCTCTGTCCTCTATTGTAGCGAGTGCGTCAAAACGTGAGTGTGTTGTGATCCCCCTGCCAGAAACGACCTTATCATTTCTCTGTACTCTATCGTACCTACGCTTTGGCTTTGGCGCGTGCATCCACTCGCCATACTTCGATGCCTTACGATTGTTCGTCGTTGCCGAAGGTGGAGCAATTATCTCTGGCTGTGGTTGGTCCGTTACAGCATCATTTTTCTCTGGGCAATTGCTCTCAAGATGCCCATATCGACCACAGTGATAACAAATAAAAGGAAGACCTTCATATTCAATGTAAATATCTTCACCATCAACTTGAATCATTGACATAAGTGGCTTGTTTAAATTGATAATGATAGCAAGTCTAACAAACTTTCTTCTATCCCCTGATTGTGTGTTATAATCCACTCGAATAACTTGCCCAAAGATACTACCGATGGAGCGGATTATACTCTTGTGGTAATACCTTGCCGGTAACCCTGGAAAATGAACCCACCCAACAACGTGGTTGATTACATGGTCTTGGGGTTTAACAGATGGTGTCCAAGACTGAGCTATTAAATAATGCCCAAAAATCATCCACGGTCCACTAAGAAAGACTTTTTGAAAGTCCACTTCGTCTTGAAATTACTAGAAAGCATTCTTCGTCTAATGGTTCGTCCCAATAGCTTGATAACCACTACAAATCCCATTTTCTTGTTGAGCACCTCCAGTACCTGTGCTGAGAAGAATATCAAAGGAATGCCATCAACAATCCCAATGGCCACCTTTTCAAGCTTTATGTCCTCTTCATCATCGTGAACTATGACTTCCTTACTTAACAGCTTATCTTTGAACGAAGGCACTGGAGGTACAATCACCTGCGGAGCTTTAAGAATCGGCGTAGCCTCAGCAGCAGGTGGACCTTCATCTGTGGACATGAGAACCTCCGCATCATCTTGCATCTCAGGAACCACTTCAAGAGGGGTGGTGTCCGAGAGGTGGGTAGCATTATCAGCAGAATCAGTATCCCAGTCAGCATCCATAGCGTCTTCATCACTCACAATTTTCTCGAATCTTCACCTTCTTCGTTGAACGGGAGGTGGTTCTTCTTTAGGGCAGCTCTGAAAGACAGAGCATTCCTCCATAGCGTCTAAAAGCTTAGTACTTGTATTCAAGCCTTAAAGCCATACCTGTGAAAAAATATTCTCGCAACCGCACTGCTACGCTGCGCCAATACATGGACACGCCCTTATTTTATTTTATTTTTCCTTTTTTGATATGCAGAAGACTATTACAAATAACGTAAAAGTAATTTTAAAAGTAAAAAAAAAAATCCTTACATCCTTACTCTCGAAAATTATAAAAAGAAATAGAAATTGTTGAATAATAATTATAATCCTCTTTGTCTTCGTGGGGTCCTTCCTGTTGAAGTCTAGCAGAATCCTCAGCTAAATTTTGGTCCAACAGATTGGAACACTCATATTTGGAAAACAGGGCTAAACAATAAAAGGGAATGTACTTTCAAAAGTAATTAGGGGATTCCTGTACGAATTGAACTTGTCTGGACACTTGAATTTAACAAGGTGAACCGTGCCGCATTAATATTCCGCATTAATACCAGAATATGGCATAGACAGTTTAGATGAATCTGCCTCAGGCCACCTTACTTGCCAGTAGTTTCTACCTTGGATATCCTTTCCTTTCTAGTTTCTATCTCGATGCATTTTCATTCGCATTTACCTATCACATTTTCCAGATAGAGACGGTAAATTAACTACTATCAAGTGGATATCTCTTATTAAAAAAAAAAATCAAATAGATATCATATGATTTAAAGAAATCACGAGAATGGACAAGAAAAATATTTGTCATGACAAGTTCATGTAAGGTTCGGCGATACCTGTGGAGTACTGTAGTGGTCGAAGGCAAGGCAAATATATTGTCAATGGCTATTTACAAGTCACGCGGCGCCGTGAAGTCGAAAGCAAGAAAAATAATGCAGTGCAAGTACAATATTTAGGAGTAAAGTCCTCCAAAAGAAAGTCGAAAAATAGCACAGAACTGGATCCATGCGAAGCAACAGAATGAGAAGCATTTGAAATGGCTATGCATTGGCAGAAGCTTCCGGATGATAATGAAGCATCTCATTCCACATCATTTCCCTAATCGTGGGTTCCCTCCAGTTTTCGTCTATGTCGAGATTGATTGGAACCTGGGCCGGAGGATTAGATCTGGGATCGTAAAGGCCCACCATATAGGGGTGTTGCAGCGCTTCCACGATAGTAATTCTCTTGGTTGGATCAAACACCAGCATTTTCTGCAATAAATCCATGGCTAATGGATCTGCTTGCGGGTATAGCTGAGACAAGTGCACGCCTCTTGTGTAGGGCAGTGATTTGATGTACCTCCTGGCCTTTGGATTGTCAATAAACGCGAGATCAGACTCGTCCTGGCTTCCCAGAACACGTATGATGAGTTTCAACTGGTTGAGGCATTCAGTTCCGGGAAAGATTGGTTTTCTGCCAAGAATCTCCGCAAAAATGCATCCTACAGACCACACGTCAATCGAGGTTCCATAATTCTCACAGCATAAGAGGAGCTCCGGAGCACGATACCAGCGAGTCACAACATACTCGGTCATGAATTGGCCATCACCTCCATTTGTTCGTGCAAGCCCAAAGTCACATATCTTCAGATCACAATTGGCATTGATGAGCAGATTTCCAGGCTTCAAGTCCCGATGAAGGATATTTGCGGAGTGAAGATATTTGAGACCTCGAAGCAACTAAAATGATACTTCCTAATTAGTGGCAAGCACAGAAAAATCTAGAATAAACAAATTAACAACACAGAATTACTGCCTCTACCAAGTAGATCAAACAATCAATATAATGTTGAAAATTCATAAAGATGCAGAGAAAATGCATTACAATGGACATGTTTTGACAAGAAGTTCTATTCTATCATATAATCCATCCCTTTTCTGTTTCCAGAAATTTCCTAGCTTGGCGAATAATTCCATTCCATTGCCTGCGGTAAAGAGGGGAAACAGTCTCAAACAATCACAGAAACAAAGTGAATGAAAAAAATCTATGTTCTGATATTTGGCCCAGGCAACATCCGTAGAATCTTTTAAGTAAAATGCCAATATCTGTCCTCACTGGGTAAATCATACATGCCCGCTGATTATTCCTGTGTTCAGACCACGAAACTATAGCGCTAGATAATTTGCACTAAAGCCAACCCAATGCTTGCTATGAGACTCACAAATTCACTTCAACATATGTCAAAAATTAAGAAAGGGAAAATTAACGTAAAAATAAGGAAATCTCAATTAGAACAATTGCAAGAGGGTATTAGCAAACTTCAAAGGTCAAACCCATATGTTGCATCATAGTCTAGCAAATTTATACATCATGAATTTCGCAAAATGGGAAAATTCCCAGATCACAAAGGATCAGGAAGGAAAACTGAAAGTTGACTAACAAGAGATAGTACCTGAAATATAAAATATTTGCAATGATCATTGGAAAGGGGCTGCGAAGATTTAATTATTTGATGAAGATCTGTATCCATGAGCTCATAAACCAAGTACACATCCTTGAAACTTGTTCTCTGGGCAGGCAACATAACATCCTTCAAAGCAATCACATTCTCGTGCCTAATATGTCTAAGCAACTTCAATTCCCTCAGTGTTCTCAATGCATCAACGCGATTCTCAAATATATTACCAATCTTCTTAATTGCAACTTTCTCATTGGTTTCCCTGTTGATGGAAGAACATACTACACCATATGCTCCTCGGCCGATGGGTTTTATTGGGACGTACTTTGTATCAATCTCAAACACTGTTTGCCATATGGAGTAATAATGCTTCCCCTTTGGCCCAACTTTATTGGGTGGCTCAATTAAAGTTGCCATTTTCCTGCAAATTAACAGAATATATTATCAAGGGTTGAACGAGCATACAGATAAACTCATAATAAACAATTAAAGGCCCGGTCAAGGTATTACTACTCTAACCGATTCTCTTTATCAACAGTCTGTCAGAGATCACAAAGAATCTCAGAAAAATGAGCCAAAATTTTGACACGGACAGAATAATATTGTTGCAGGACACACAGATAGTTGCAGGTTCATAAGAGATGTTTAAAAATCGACCAATCCTAGTTAAATCTACGTCGGGTTTGATCCTTCAAGTCACCTTGTCTTTGCTTTGATTAATTCTCTCCAAATTCTTCAGCAATCATAAAATTTTCAAGTCATCTTTCTTCTCCTATCCGCCTTATGCCTAACCTTTCAAATCACCAAGAGACAAAAGAACTCAGATCCCAAGATACTTAGAAAAGCATCCATACCATAAAACTAAGCTTTCATCCCAGCATTTCCTTCTCGCCCAGAATTCTTCGAAGTTCTGAAAAGGAAGCCAAGTATCGTGGAGTTGACGATGCTTCAAGCAGACGCTTTGTTGCAGCCAATTTCACACAGCAAAAGCAAAACACACCTTTTTCAACGGAAATATTGGGTAGAAGAGCGACACGGTAGATTCAAGAAGCGGGCTTGATTATACGGTTAAATCAGGATCCTGGATGAGAAATTGGGTACGAAGGCAGAGAATCCATTATGTGTATGAAGCCATAAAGCGAATCCGGTATGTTTTTTTGGGGGGGGGGGGGGGGGGGGGAGGAGATGAGGGGATAAACATACTCGTGAGTCACAACAACTACCTCCACACGGCATTCGTAATGCCTTCTGCCCAAAAACTGAAAAATGACGACTTCCAACGTGCTTCGGCCTTTCGGGGTTGGGCTTAATCCCGTCTTGTGTACCAGTGTTCTTGTTTTTCATCTTGCACTTCACAAATTGGTGGCAAAGGCAGATATTTCCAAATTTTCATAGCGTTGTTTGGTTATTAAAAAAAATAGAATAAATTATAAAAAATACAAATAAAATGATTAAAAAATAATAAACCATATTTATAAAGAAAAAAATAATTTAATTCATTAAATTAAGAATTATGATTTATAAAATTTTTAAAAAATATAATAATTTTTACATTTATAACACTTATTAATGAGTTTTACCATATTTATCATGAAGAAAAAAATTTAATTTATGTTTATATTAATTTTTTAATTTATTTTATTTTAATTTTTTTAGTAACTAAATGAAATTTATTTTTTATTTAAAAAAAATTACTTTACTTCGTCCGTGCCAACCAAAAATAAAAAAAAGTCTGGCAAGGTATTCGGTTTAATTTGGTGGGTTTTGTGTATGGGGGCCCGATTTAAATTAAAAATGAATGCAAAGCACAGCTATGATTATTTATTTTTTTTTTTATATTTTTGGGCGCAACAGATTTAAAAATTTGAAATTAATGCAGTTAGGTTAAATTTATTTTCAGACTCTTGAATCCTTTATGTTAAAGATAATATATATATATATATATTTTTTTTTTTTTCAATCAAAACACGACAAATACATAATTTATTTTTTGTGCAACCAATATATAGTTTAATTCAGGATTACATACTTTTAAGTAAAAATATATAAGTTAAAAGTGAATATTTAATTATTTAATTTTATACAAGATTTTAATTTGAGTTATTAATTTTATAAAATATGTTTTTGTCCTCTAGTTCAAATAACATTAATTTTAATAATTTTTTAAATTATTAAAATTAATGATAAAATAAAATTTAATATTTCAAAAAAATATATTTTATAAAATTAATATATTTTTCAATATTTGAAATTTAAATATTTTATTTATTTAATAAAACTAAGGATATTAGAATTAAGTAATTAGAAAATACAATATAAAATTAAAGAATTAGAATTAAATTAAATTAAATGAACTTTTTTTATTTTTTTTTGTTTCCTAAGCTATTTTCACAGTCAGCAATCATAATCTCTTAAAAAAAATTAAATATCATTTAAGAGATTATCCTTTTTTAAACTTCAAATGTACTTTCAAAAATTAAACTTTAAAATAATACTTAAGAATTAAGACTATTACTATTTAGATTAGTGCTACACCATTGGTTTCGTGTATAATGAAACCTAAACCTTTAAAAAATTGAAGGGAAAAATTCATTTAAGAACTATCATAGATAGTTATTTTCAAATCAAATCCAACAAACTAGGGGAAAAAAACACGAATGCCCAATTGAAATTAGGGAAAATCATAACCAAGAACCGCTAGAGAAATATATTCACAGCTGAAAACCAATCAAATATGAATTTACACTGTAGTTTTAGAGGTCGTAATTGTAATTAATTTGTACTAAGAAATAACAAAAACACCTCTAGTGTTAAAAATTCAAAAAAGAGATCGTTGTTTCTGGCTCCCCTTTCCACAACCTTCACATCACCTTACTCACATGATCGTTGCTTCAAAAGCAGGTTGGCTATACTGAAGGCAATTTCCCAATATTTGAGTTCGGGAGAAGCTACTAATTTAGTCAATCGAGGTATGGTATGCTGCAGAAGCTCGGGCATAGCAGTCAAATGTTGTCTTCATGAGAAGTCCATGCTCTTGGAAATATTGAAGTGTCCTATGATGTTTGAGAAGTTTTAGAATTAACAAGTTCTGTTAGTATATTGATAAGTAGTCAATTTGAAATTAATAAGTCCTCTTAGTAGATTGAGTGTTGTGCCAAATTAATGAATGTTGATAAAAGAGAGGACATATGTTGTTAGTTGTTTGTTGTTTTATTGTGATTGACAAGTATATAATGTTGATGATTTGTCAAAGTGTTCAATATGCAAATGGATGTAAAGGACAAGTCTTGTTATTAGTTTGACAAATATATAATCTGAAAATGACAAGTACTATTGTTATATTTTTTTACAAGTATATAATTTGCAAATGACAAGTCGTGTTATTATTTTGACAAGTATATAATGTGTATTATTTGTCTAAAGTTTTGGATAAGCATATAATCTTATAAAGACAAGTCATGCTATTAGTTTGACAAATATATAATTTGTAAATGACAAGTACTATTGGTATGTTTTTTTGACAAGGATATAATCTGCAAATGATAAGTACCATCATTATTTTGACAAGTATATAATGTGCATTATTTTTCTAAAGGTTTGGACAAGTATATAATCTTCTAAAGACAAGTCTCATTATTAATTTGACAAGTATATAATCTGCAAATGACAAGTACTGTTGTTATGTTTTTTAACAAGTATATAATGTGCATTATTTGTTTGAAGTTTTGGACAAGTATATAATCTTTTAAAGACAAGTCCCATTTTAATTTGACAAGTATATAATCTACAAATGACAAGTATTGTTGTCATGTATTTTGGAAAGTATATAATCTAGAAATGACAAGTATTGTTGTTATGTTTTTATTACAAGTATATAATTTGGAAATGATAAGTCCCATGATTATTTTGACAAGTATTGAATTTGAAAATGACAAGTCCTATTATTATTTTGACAAGTATATAATCTGCAAGATTTGAACAAGTTTATATACTACAAAAGACAAGTCCCGTTACTATTTTGACAAGTATGTAATGTGGAGATAACAAGTACTATTATTATTATTTTTCACAAGTCTGTAGTATACATGATTTCTTTAAGTCATGGACCTGTTAATATGTACAGTTGTAGAAAAATGGCTAACAAAAAAAACAAGGAACACGTGACAGGATTCAAGTTATTAAAGAAGAATTTCTATGTAAATAGGAAAGAAAAGTTTAAGAGCTTCTAAGGTGTAGCAAATGGTGTTAGAGAAGCATGGAAGAGAGTAAGTGAGGAATACAAGAAGATATATAAAGAAATGGCGTTGGAAGGAAGAGTAGAAATCTGTAAAAAGTATACTTTGCCGTTCCTAACTAGATGCTCACTTAGTAAGTTCATGGAAGTTGCTGAACATGTAAAGGGGAATGAAAATTAAAGGGAAAGGGTGGAGAAAATTAGGTTTAGGAGGTTGTTAGATATTGATTACAGAAGAATACCTTGAGAACTTGTTGCAAAGGGGATTAATACATATGATCCACCTATTAAAAGAATCACCATAAGATGGAAGACTATTAATATCAAGTCGGGGGATGTTAAGCTCTTATTGGGGTTATCCAATAAAGGTGAAGAAGTAAGCATAGTTGCTCATAAGGAGGTTGTAGAGAAATGAAGAAAGTTTATTCCTCTCTTTCTTATAATGAAATGAAAAGGAAGATAATGTTTAGAGAACATGATGATTCCTTTGAGTTTTTGTTTATATTATATACATTGGGTACTTTATTGTATCCAAATGTATGTTTTGGTGTAAGTGATCGTATATTGAAAGTCATGGCTTGCACCAACAATGCATGGGTACTATATGATTGTGCCACACTTGTTTTCAATGAACTAATAACTAAAATTGAAAAGTACAAGAAGGCTATTAAGAAGGGAAAGCTCTGCGGATTTAAAACTGTTAGAGGCTGTGTTCTTCTTGCTAGTACATATGTATTTATCACTTTTATAAATTAAGTTAGCCTTTTTAAGTTGTGTGTGATGTGTGTTTTGTTTTAATATATTGTTCCTCTAATATTTCCCATTGATTGAAGGTGGCTCATCCTCAAATGATGCATTAAAGCATTAGAATGAGGAAAGAGTGAACAAAAGAGTAGACATAGAGAGAAAGAGCTACCAGACAATTATATATGTTCCAAGAATTGGTGAGGATACTTCTTTTAATAAAGATTCCACCAATAACATCATTTTATGACCAGGTTGGTATTAAAGTTGAAATTTATAATATATATTTTGATTGAAAATTTTCTTATATAGTGTGTGTCTTATGCAAGAGTTAAAGGAGACTTATATGAGGATTAACAGCTTTTTTCATGAGGAAATGATAAAGGTATAAAGATTTATTACCAAGGAACTACTGAAGCTACAGGTAAAGAGGGCTGCCTTAAAGAAAGAGGAGGATGGAGATAAGGAGGACGATAGAGATGAGAAGGAAGGAGAACATAGATTTGGAGATAGTGAAGAGAAAGTAGATAGTGAAGAAGAGGAGGAAGGAGAACATAAATCTAAACATAGTAAAGAGGAAATGGATAATGAAAAGGAGGAGGGAGAACATAAATATAGACAAAATGAAGAGGAAGATGATACAGAAGATAAGAACAAGTTAAAAGAAGCACATAGCAATGAGGAGAAGGAATGATTAAATGAATTAGAACACAAAGTTGGAGGCGCATTAAGGAGGTCAAAAAGGGTGAAAAAGCCTAGCATTAAATCTCCATGGTTGGCTTGTTTTACTCAAAAGAGGAAAATAAGTGAAAAAGAATGTTTATTTACTTTATGCTCTGAATTCTATGAAGAAGATGAATGAAAAAAGTAAGTTATAAATTCATGACATGTGCTTGTCCAATTTAAAGTCAATAGTTACAAGTACTGATATATTATTTTTTGCATCCAAGGTGTTTGTCCAAATGTTTGGATACCACCTTACAATGGCAGAATTGAGAGATTTTGGTCTTGGAAAGTAGATTAGTAATATGTTAATTGTAACTTAAGTTGCATAAGATACAATGTCATATAATATATAAAAGTGATATATTTGCATCATATACAGATAATGGCAATAATTATCATAACTCTAGTTGGTGAGCAGAAGGCACAATCTTTTATTGTCAAGCATCACATATTTGATTATTAGTTCATAAAGAAATGATCGCCAATCCAAAAGCCTAAAGGATGTTTAGCCATTTAACAAAATAAATCCAAAAAGTATTGGTTATAATATAGGAGATTGTGATTTAATGTTTGCACCAATAATTTTTTTCCTTTTATTGATTTTCCTTTATTATGGGTACAAGGACACTAAAATTCTATGTATTGGATTTGTTGA